TCTGCTGTTCCTGAGCCGGAGCCAGTGTCTGCTGTTCCTGAGCCGGAGCCAGTGTCTGCTGTTCCTGAGCCGGAGCCAGTGTCTGCTGTTCCTGAGCCGGAGCCAGTGTCTGCTGTTCCTGAGCCGGAGCCAGTGTCTGCTGTTCCTGAGCCGGAGCCAATGTTTGCTGTTCCTGAGCCGGAGCCAGTGTCTGCTGTTCCTGAGCCGGAGCCAGTGTCTGCTGTTCCTGAGCCGGAGCCAGTGTCTGCTGTTCCTGAGCCGGAGCCAATGTTTGTTTCTGTGTTTGTGTCTGTCCTAGTGGCCGTTGCTGTTCTGGTGGCTGTTCCTGAGCCGCCCGAGGGGTCGTCTCCGCCCCTGGCCGCCCGAGGGGTCGTCTCCGCCATGGCCGCCCGATGGACTGACTGCGTCGTCCTGGCCGCCCGATGGACTTTGTGTTTCGCCCGGGTCTCCCAGGACTAAACGCTTTGTCCCTCCCGTCCCACCCTGGTCTGTCCCTCCCGTCCCACCCGTCCCACCCTGGTCTGTCCCTCCCGTCCCGCCTGATGGAGCGTCTGGTAGCCGCTCCGTAGGGAGGGGGTAATGTCACGTGTCTGTCCTGTCTTGTATTGCACTTGGGTGTCTTTGTTATGTTGGGCCATGTGCTCTCGTTATTGTTTGATCCCTCCCCCTTGTTACCTGATTAGTGTTTGAGTTCTTCCACCTGTTACCTCTTGATTTGTTCCCTTTTTAAGTCTCCTCTTGTTTGCATTCTTTGTCGGATCGTTGTCATGTTTTCCCAGTTTCCGTGTGATGGTCTTCGTGTTCAGAGTCAGTGTTTGTTCTTCAAGTTCAGTTTTTTTTTGTCTTTTTTTTTTGGAAAATTTTATTTTGCTTTTTTCAAATACAATAACCAACATCAGACATAACACAAAGGCAAGAGCAACAACAGCAAAAAAAGAAAAGGAAAATAAAATAAAAAATAAATAAACGAAAATTAGAAAATTAACTTTATCCAATCAAGTCATGTGGTACTATATTTTTATAATTCAAAAAGGGTTTCCAGATTTTATGAAATAAGTCACCCCTGCTTCTCATTGTATATGTGATCTTCTCTAAGGGTACACAGCTGCAAATCTCTGACAACCACAATCCAATTGGCACATCAGTGTCTGCTTTCCATTTCAAAGCATGTAATATTCACAAAGTTGTATATATATTGCACATACATGCTCCCATATAAATGTGAATGTATTATGTTCACATAATACACACACATTCACGGAACGAGTTACAAGAGATTTCTAGTTCCTAGCATGCTTTGCTTCTGACTGTTAAAGGAGAGCAAATGTTAAAATTAAGTGTTGATGTTTTGCTTAATATTAATATAAGTGGAGATCTGTTAGTATTTAATCTTCTATACTGGTTCGGTTGACCGGATACCATTCCTGGTCCGAATACCATTAAGACTAATTACTTCTTTTTTTTTAAAGTAATGGCTGTTCACTCCTCAGCACAGTATAGTCTTTTGGTTAAATACGTTAGAACATGCAGGTGTGCTTGTGCTTTTGTTAACCAGTTTGAAAATATGGAACATTTATAAAGTAAATAATTATAGAATATAAGAAATATATTACATGAAATATTTCTCTATATGTGTGTGTGTGTGTGTTTATAATGCATGAGTAAATATATCTGCAATATATTACATATGCAGTACCAATTCTGATCACATATACATCTATATATTATGAAGTGTATTACTGAATATAAAATGACATACATTATGATATATTAGTAAATATGTTGTCACATATTTTTCAAAATGTGAAAAGCGGCAATTCCTTATGTATTATTCAATATATTGTAATATATTAACTCAATATATTATTCTGTATATTTTCAAATGTTATATCATTTAATATATTGATCATTCATATTAGGAAATATATTTTCTTTTCGTAAGGGAATGCAACACAAAATGTTTATTAACAAACATAAATGAGTAAATCCAGGCATGGGCCAGGGCAAGAAAATAAAACTGAAGAGTAAATCCAAACATGGGGAAAGCAGGCGAAAACAGAACTGAAAACAAACCAAGAGTAACATCCACTAAGGACAACACCAGACACTGAACAAGGCAAATCAATAGCCTGGCAAGCCAGACCCACATCAAGATGTTACACTGGCTGCAAAATAAATTTTGCTGCCGCTATGGGTGCTTCTAGATTTCTAGGCCAGGCTATCAATGCACAGGATAAAGAGAAGCTAACAGGTGAGGGTTATCAATATTATATTGACCGAGTTGCCTCCTTCGAGTATCAAAAAATCTCTTGTTGTTTGGTACAAAATTTCGACATCTAAGCGGTTTATCTTGTCAAGGTCAGTGAGCCAATCAGCATGAAGCATGATTGGCTGTGGCATCAAGGAAAAACAGTAGTTTATGCTGGTTGCGGCCAGAGAGCGTCACAAATTAACCGAAACTCGGCATATAGAAAGCTTAAAATGTCTACTTTTAAATTAACCTATTTGAATCGAAAACAAATACTCTGATCATGTAATCCAAATGAAAGATATATTTCTCTCTCTAGGCGTGTCCGCACATTCGCTATAGAGGGAATGCATTAACGTCACTTCCCCGCCGGAACACGCCCCCCTCAGCGGGACTGAGTGGCAGAAGAGCTGCTGCGTGACTGGAGTTAATAGAGGAAACTGCGTTAACGCGAGTAAAACAAACTATTATCAGTTTAAACTAAAAGTTGGACTCGATATAGTGTTCCTTACAACTTATCAAAGATCCAGTGATCCATGGATATTGACATGCAGCCAGGAATCGTGTTTCCTGACATTTATATGTGCCTGATTTCGACGCCGGGGAAATAAATGAAGACAATTTGCCTGTAAACGTTTTATATAAATACAATATAGATAGGTCTAAATCCGAGTGATCACTTACATTAATGTTATACTGTATATCATCATATCGTCCAGCCCTAAAACTTGTATAGTTTTTTGTCAGTGTTTATTTAAAAACATCCAATTATGCAGAATATAGTCTGTTCTGTAGCTTTTTGCAGTCTGTAAAAATATACAGTACCTCAGATTTCTGGTCAAATCTAGTTGTACAGTCAATCGCAAAGCTCTTTCCCGTTTTAGATGTGTTTTGTGTGCTTTTCACGGCGTTCACACTGAAAACAAATGCTGCCGCTCAGTCTTTTTGCCACTTGTGGGCGCGACCGCATTCACTCCGGCCGACGGTGACGTCATGCGCATACCCTCTACTACAGCCTACTGTGAAGATGACGAGTCAGCAACGTCAACTTCATCTTTGCAGCCAACACTGACTCAGAATTCAGAAAACACTAGTTTATTAATCAACAATTAAAATGTCTCCTTGCTATTTTTTCCTGACACATTCATAATCACTTTGGTACTTTTGCCAGTGCTTTGCGGCAAGTTTTATGCGTGCGCTTGAGCGCGAGGCATATATTCTGCCCCCCAGTGGCCAATATGAATCTTTAGGTGCGTTCCATTCGACAGGGTCCCTACACAAGTGTTCACTGCTCCCTACTCCCTGAGCACGGTATATCAGTTGAAGTGGACTTCACTGACTTCCTGTGAAGTGATGTATCGATGTTCCCTTATTCCCTATGCCGTTTGCAGTGCCCTTCGAACTGAACATGTTCGTTCCCTTCGTTTTGGAATCTCACTTAAGATGGCGAAATACCCTGTGAAGTCCACTTCACAGTCCACTTACGGTCGAATGGAACGCACCTTTTGAGTCAACCAACTGAAAAAATAAAACCAACGTTTTTTTTTTTTTTTAGGTAATATGTAATGTAATCTTGTTAAAACACAGATTTCATAAAATTGGTCAATTATTTGGTATTGATATTATTTATTTGCGATACCCAGCCCTAAGTTATCAATCATATGGCAAAAAACACGGTTGACTAAGGGTCTGTTTGAAGTTGACTTGAAGTTGAGTCAAAAAGTTGACTGTTTACACGACACCGAAAACTAAAAACGTAACACTTTTTATGCGTTTTGGCCGTTCGTTTACACATTTAGGGTGCCTGAAAACGCAAACTTTTGAAAACGGTCTCCGTGTAAACGTAAACAACAAAAAATGGTATCTCTGAAGATTATGATGTCATGCACATGCGTATTACGTGGTCAGTCTATAGCGTTTCATCGCCATCGAATGGCCTGACTGCAGAATACAGTGTTTTAAGTTATTTTTGTGAATCCATGTGAATGGGGATCGTTTTGACAATGGAAAACTCAAAGGAAAAACTTCTCAGTTTTAAGCATATCCTTGTTGTGTAAACGTAATATAGAAACAAAGTAAAACAGTAAACACAGGATGTGAACACTGGAACAGAAAATACACTTTAAAATAAAAGTCCTGACAAACAAGAAATACAAAACCAGGGAACATGTAATTATTCATTTATTTATAAATCACATCTATACATTTCGTTAATCAATATGCAGTTAAACATAAATATGAGTCAACAAAGGAATATGATCAACATCAAACTCTTTTGCAAGAGTCTTTTTTTGTTGTTGAAAAAAATTAAGAAGTGCTAAGTTGATAGACTTTTATTCATGATTAAAAGCAGAAAGTGATTGAACTAAAGCTGTTGTTCAGTTTTGTTAGTGTCTCTTTTATTTGGTCTGGAAAGTAACTGGAAAGTTATTCTTAACATCTATAAAAAGAACTTGATGAATCTCCAGGAAATGACTCAAACCGACATGATCTACTCCCATTTCCAAAAAAAAAATATATATATATATATATTGTAGCAACAAATTTTGTATTAGATTAATTAAAACTAAAATAATATTTCAACTGATTTAGAAATAAATTATATTAAGATGTATATTTAGGCTCCAAAACATGGCATCACTTACACTTCGATCAGTGGTGGTAAAACAACAACAGGACTAATAATGAGGTCAGTGTAAGTGTAAATTTCATCATTTCTTCTATTTAAGTATTTTCTGAAGCTCAGCAGAAGCACTTCCTCTGAGTTGCTATAAAGTTACACACAACATCAATCTCCACACAAGTTCAACCTGAACACGTTCAAGAAGATCACAGAATGAAGACTCTGCTGCTTTCACTCCTCTGTAAGTTTATTTTATGTCATTTTGTGTGATTCGATGTGATCCTGTCATGATCAGATAATCTGAATGGTGTGTTTTCTGTTCGTTCAGGTGTGTTTGTGTGTTCTCAACACACAGAAGGTGTCACTGATCAACAGGTGACTTTAGGACAGAGTGTGACTTTAGCTTGTGAGTTTAAATGTAAAGCTGCTATTTGGTTTGTGATAAAGCCATCAGTTCGTCCAGTGATGATACTGCGTACGTTTGGATCTGAAAAGCCTGAATATTACGACGAGAAATTCCGCAACAAATATTCAGAGGGAAGCAGGAGCCAATTAATTATCAATACTGTCACTGCTGATGATTTAGGAACTTATTACTGTATAAAACCAGGCTGGGCTCTACAGATCAGTGACGGTATGAGACTGGACACCACTGGTAAGCGTTAAACTGCAATACATTCATACAACTGAGAGCTATATTATTATTGTTGTTATTTTAAATAATTATTTTGCACTACAATTATTTAAACAACAAATGAAATAAGATACTTGGCTTTTTAAAAGATGTATCTCAAGAGGGCGGTGCTCATACCAAACTGTTCACCACTGGTATGTCACTTGGAAAAAATATATATCGGAGATATTGTTATATAATCATAATTATGTTTTTAATAATAATAATAATGTTATTTATGCAAAGTTATTTTGCAATCTAAATGGCGAGGATGCATGACAAAAAGTTTAAATAACCAAACTATCCAAATGATCTGTAAAAGATAAAACGTTTCTCAAAAACACAGAAGCCCCCCATGGGCCAGATGAACCAGAGCAAAAGAATCCCGCACAAGATCAGAGAGCAAATCAGATCCTGATTGTCATGTTCACCCTGCTGATGGTTGTGCTGTTTGCTGCAGTGATAGGTGAGTACAATTTATTTTTGAATCAATCAAAATCAGGAAAATTACATTATTATTACATTTGTCAATTCATTTTGACAGCATTTAATCAGAGTATATTTTGTGGTTTTAGGTTTAGTAATTATGAACCGTAAAATGTCTAGGAAAATTCCTAGATATGAAAGTTCTCAGCAGGTAAGACATGCCTTTTTGCTGTTTATATTAATAATTCAGTTCAGTTCAGTTACAAATGGGAATTAGCAGCTAATGTATATTTTTTCTTATCATTCGTTTAGATTTTAAACAGAAGAATAACACCCATTCGGACCAACGTCACTGTTGATCCACTGACCGATCATGAATATCTAGAAGTGCTGCCATCCCCTGAATATGAAATAGCAACATATTGAAAGATTGATTGCTGTTTGATTCTAATGATCAGAATTAAGAATAAGAATCTATCAACTTTGTAGCCTAATGTTTTTGATTGTTTATGTCTCTTTCTGAGTTGCTATTAATTAAAGCTGCCGTCGGCAAAATTGTTTTGATCATATTCAGTGAAATCGACACTATAATCCGACAGAACAACATAAATAAAGTGGTTTTAGAAAAAAACCCGAGCTTCTAACTTGCATGGGAGATCTGACTGTCAATCACAGATCGGGCACACGCCACGTAAGCTCATTTAGAGTATAAATGACGTTAGCAATTGCAATCTATCGGTAGATTAGCCAGAGCAGCATACCTCCAAATACTCCATGGTGTTGATGGATGCTGATGAGACGGGCGCGTTCACTGAAAATCTGGTGCACACGCACTGACGAGCATGAACTCGGTGGGAGGGTATTCGCATGGGGTATTCGTTGATAGTGGGGGAGGGCCATGAGAGTTGTAAACATTCAAAATTTTGCCTAAGTCCATTCAATCTGTCAGACTTGCCGACTGCAGCTTTAAGTGAAATGGGATGTAATGAAAATTACTTTTAAAAGTAATGCATTACAATATTGCGTAGGTAACTCCCTAAAAAAGTAACTAATTGCGTAGTTACTTTTTATGAAAAGTAATACGTTGCGTTAATTTTGGGTTACTTTTTCTCACCTGGGCTGGGCTTGCTTGTTTGTTTTCTAATAACAAAAATAAATGAATAAATAAAAGTAAAATGTTTGGCTAATGTAAAGGCTCTTTCACACCAAAAGTGATATGAATAACCCTCAGGCCGAAGAAAATGCAGATTCACGGCTATACAGAACATACTTTTTTAGCGTTTGTGAAGTAATCATTCAAATTAAGTATCTAGATTTCAGACTCTTACTTCTGCAATAAAAAATAAATAAATGAAAGTCATTTTTGCTCATTATGGTTAAATTGGACCGAAGGTCAGCTGCCAAGACATTGGTTGATAAAGTGATATTAAATACATAAAGTATTCATACATTTCACTGTTTTATTTATTTTGAGGAATACTGAATCGGTTTTTGTGCAATTGAGATGAATAAATGCATGTTCACATTAAGTCTAGAACTACAATAACCATCACTTATTTTTAAGTGGCACTCCTGGTCCTCCATATCCTGATTGCTGATGTGAAAATGAAACTCATAGCTGGATGTAATAAACAAGATTGATAACTTTTTGTCAGAACTTGCAATGGTAATCTAATCGTAACCTCATAATGAAGAAAAAAAAGTACAACGGCAAAAATAACAATTCTGTACTTTCTTACTTTCTAGTGTGAATGGAAAGCGTTTGAAGTCACTTATGTTTATAGTTTATAGTCATTACTATGCAAAGACATTTACATTGTAATGTAATGTAATGTGCTGCTGACTAATGTAATTTTCTGAGCTGTTGTAATGTGTGTATGCTTTTATTAATTCATTCAGAGTACAAGGAAGCCATCACTACAGCACTCGTCTTTATTTCTATTCTCTTTTTCAATACTTCTTTTCAGGAGTAGTACATATACTAGATAAGACTATGCACGATATATTTTTCACGAGAACTACGTATAGGCCTAGAATTGATGTATAATAATGCTAAATAATGAGCGTAAAATATTGTTCAATTGTTGTTTAAGATTGACTGATGTTTGTTGTTAGCTGTAGGGTGACTTACTCAATGACACCCTACCCTAGACCCCTTGTAAACATACGTCATGATGACGTGCAGATTTTCTATATTATATTATAAGTTACCTGCTGGTATAAGTAGAAGCACAGTTTGACGAATTTTATTTTTTTAAATGTTACAACCCAAATGGTAATGAATATATATATATATATATATATATATATATATATATATATATATATATATATATTCCTTTTTGCCATGTTATATCAATATTTATATATATATATATATATATATATATTTATTTTTTTTAACAGTAAAAGAATGAAGGCACTCACAAAACAATAACTATTATTTATAAGACTTGGTTATCAAGACAAAAGCAATGAGAAGCCATGCTGAAAACATATTGAGAATTTTGCATTACATGTAACAAACATCAGTCAATCTTAAACAACAATCGAACAATATTTTACGCTCATTATTTAGCATTATTATACATCAATTAGACCGTTTGAGAGGATGTTCTGTTGATTATGTTTGTGGTTTTGCCTTTAGTTTTTGAAAAGGACCAAAAGTGTTGTTGGTCGGGCGGAACAGACAAAACTATGAAACAAAAACAATCAAACAAAACACAATTTAGCTGTAGAACACGTTTTCTGCACATTGAATGCTGAATTATAGATGTGTTTTACCTCTTCATCATTTGTGCTGTAAAGCTGCTCCAGTTCCTCATTTTGATATTGTTGGTGTGTTTTCTTACACACTTGAAGTTTGATCTGCAATAGACCTAAAATACCAGCAACATTTCTGATTAAACATTAATTCATCACTAAAGGGATGTAGTATCAAAAACACAAACATTTAAAGGAATTCTTATATATTATTATTGTTGTTGTTTTATATCGCAGAACCCAAATCTCACCTTGCTAAAAACATCACAGTGTTCAGTATGACGTATAAAACAATCAGTCTTCTGCGTCGTCTAACTCACTTTCGTCTGATTCTGATCTTGAGCAACTTCTGTGAAGAGTTTTGTGTTTAAGAAATATCAAATATGCATCAACATTATGTAGATTTCTGTCAGAAATAAAGCTCATGTGTAAATTCTGAAACCATCACTGAGCTGTAGATTTGAGTCTAGTTTTGAGTGAGTCTAGTTTTGCACAATAATAGATTCCTAATTCATCAATAGTGATGTTATTAATAAGTAATATACTGAAATTTTGTGATGAATAATTGAACATTTGAATCTTCAATCATAGAAAAGAGCTGATGTTGAATCTGATCCGAAGGTTTGCAATTTCAGCACTGGAGAATCTGTCAGTTTCTGGAAAACCCAATAAATGTCTTTTACATCAATCTGACAGTCTATTTGTATTTGGCTGCGAATATGGTGGCTTCCTCGGGGGTTGAGAATCTCTTCTTCGCTCCGCTCTCCAGAGTAATCTGTAATCGAGCCGGGAAGAGAAGTGCTGGTCGAAGAGCGAGGTTGTAAAGATCGGCCATCACTGCTCGATATTTAGCTCGTTCCCCGGCGATTTCTGGTGTGTAGTCTTCAAAGATCTGGATTGGTGTCCCTTGGTACTGAAGTTTCCCACGTCTCTTACGAGCCTCCCGAATGATCAGCTCCTTGGTCTGATAGTGATGCAGGCGAAGTATAACCGGTCTGGGCCGTGAGCCGGGTTGTGGTTTAGCGGTGAGCGTTCTGTGCGCTCGGTCCAATTCAGGAGGAGACTGAAGGATCTGGTCGCCCAGTACTTCAGCCAAAAGTTCGGCGAAAAAGCTTGTGGGCCTGGGTCCCTCGATTGATTCTGGGAGGCCGATTATTCTAATATTATTTCTGCGGCTGCGGCTCTCCAGATCGATAGTCTTTGCTGTTAGTTTAGCGTTGTTATCTGCTAATGCGACACACCTCTCCTCCAGTGCTTGAATTCGTTGGGCTTGCAGCTCAGCGTGGGATTCCAATGAGTCCATTCGCTGTCCATGTTCTGTTATCGTTGTCTGCATTTTGTCAAGTCTCAATTCCAGAGCAGCGAATGTTGCTTTGAAGTCGGCTGCAATACTAGCTCTGTGGTCTTCTAGCATACTAGCTATGCCAGCTAGCGCTGTGCTGCTGCTCGTAGGAGAGGCGTCTGCTTCAGTCTTTTTTGACGCTTTTGATGATTTTGACATTTCTCTATGGTGTTCAAGGTTCTAATGCTAATTCGTCTACGCTCAGTTGGTTGGGGTTTTAAGGAAAAAGTAAGTTTTCAAAGTTACCGCTGCGGGAGCCTGAGACAACGCTGCTTTCACATGCTCACCCAAACCGGAAGTCTCTCAATCTGACAGTCTAAAGTCACGTTTTCACCCGTTTATCTCTTAAACTCTCTGTAGTTTGACACACCAGCAGAACCTTGAAGAAACACACAGATCATTGAGATTAGGCAACAATAAAACACTATCCGCTCATGAGAAGATCACAATAAAATCATGCATGAACACTGACTACGTTTACATGCAGCCAATAACCCGTTCAAAACCGGGATATTAGCAATAACCCGGTCGCGCACGGCCATGTAAACACCTGCAAAAACCCGAATATGCTTATATCCCGGATTTTAAAAACCGGGACATAATATCTGGGGTACCCATAGACAGTATAAGAAGTGGACAGAGCCATCTCATTGGAACTCAGTTGAGACAGTTGAAGCCCATTTTTATCGATTTTTGAGCACTTCCGTTCCTGACGTGCAGACTCAAACCGACTCAAACTAAGCTTGATGACGTGAGCAACCTGTCTGACAGACGTGAATCTTCTAGTAGCTGTGCGTGAAAATTGCCAACGTTAATCTTGCAGAGACGGGGAACTTGAGCAAAGAGTTCTTTGGCGTGAGTGAGCAGGATTAAGTATTCTGATTAATTATTAATTTGTATAGTATTTATTTTAAAATGTGCTTCTCCCTTGACGGGACGTCACCCCGATTGCCTGCGAGCTTCTCCTCCTGTCTGTACGGTAATTTCTGTACAGCGCGACAGAGAGTCGAGTGGTTATGACGCAATCGTTAGCCTATTTTTACTAAATCTGTTTCTACGGGGCCATATATAGAAGGTAATGGAGCCCTTTATACATTGTTGTGTTTCTTCACTTTCGTTATTCTGTTTATATGCCCACTGCGCAATGTGACGTAGGAGTGACGTCTTTTCTATGTATTTTTTGGAGGTCCAAAAAATCTACGGCACGTCTAATGTTGACGTTTGTGGCACCTAGGGTTATTTATAATCCAAATGTGGTCGTTTGTGGACGTCTTTTCAACATCAAATTTAGACTAATTTTAGATGTCGTTTTTATACAACT